TTTTGGTTTATTGTAGAGATGAGGCTTGCCAAGTTGCCCAGGCTGGTCTCAAACCTGCGGGCTCAGGCAATCCTCTCACCTCGGCCTCCCAAAGTGCTGGGATTATAGCCACCACATCCGGCCCAACTAACACTTCTTAAATTATATATAAAACGATAGCAGTTCTACAGCATGTAAACAGGTAATGTGGTGAGAGGAATTAATGCTCAAAAAGTTTTGAGATCACTTGCATGTTATATTCAACTCTTACAGGGCCATAATACACACTAGCATATTAAGGGCTCTGAGAAGTTCTGTAGTAAGCAAACAAATCTGTTTAATCCAAAGACATTTCCCAAATGTATGTTTCAGAAAACATCTGTACCATGGAATAGTTTGGGAAATGCTAGTTTACGGTCATTATTCCTAAACTCTCAATTCATTTCTTCAGAAACAAGAATAAGGCTGATATAACAGACTAAACAATTACATTTCTTACACCACAGAACTCCAGCTCAGGAACAATGTGAGTTGCAAAGGGTAGTCTAGACATTTTCACAAAGGCAGTCAATACCAAAGCTCCAGGTTTTAAAAGGGATAAGCTCCTTACCCAATAAATAATACCAAAATAGGGCTAACATCAATTTTCAATAGATTCATATGCTATTCTCAAAAACAGAAAAGAAAGTGGAAAAAAATCTAAGCATGGTGACTCACATCTGCAATCCCAGCACTTTGGGAGGCCAAGGTGAGAGGAATGCCTGAGCCCAGGAATTCGAGAACAGCCTGGGCAACTTGATGAGTCCTCATCTCTACAATAAATAAATAAAAATAGCCAGGCGTGGTGGTACACACCTGTGGTTCCAGCTATGTGAAAGGCCAAGGTGGAAGGCCAAGGGGAAGAAGCCCAGCAGGTCGAGGCTGCGGTGGCTGTGAGTGTGCCACTGCACTTCAGCCTGGGTGAGAGTGACTCCTACTCAAAAAAAAAAAAAAGAAAAGAAACTGGAAAAAAGTCACCGAAAAGCCAACCATAGGGAAAATGAGTATGGGATTCCTGTGTTTGAAGAAGTCTAGTGATTCCTGGCACTTTGGTATATTTTGATGTTATATATCAGGGACACTCACAAGGAAGAGTCGCCAGGACCTCTAGCTGGAAACACATGGGGGATTCCTATACTTCTACAGGCGACCTTCAGCAACCTCAAGACATAAAACAGAATATAATTGCATGGAGGAGTATCATGCTGACCTGAAAAAGAGTTATCCTTGAGAAACCAACAAGATATGTTTGCTAATTAGAGTTCTAACTCCTGTAGCCCTTGTAGTACTCCATAGATTAGGATTACAGTTTCCTACCCTTCTCTACACAAATTTGTGACAGAAAGAAGATTGGCTGTCTAGAGACTGAAATCATTTGACCTTGTTTCAAGTGGTAGTTTGCTTGGTCAATAAATGAAAAAATAAAGCAAGGCCCCTTGCCAAAAACCATCACCATACTGCCAGACATTCCTGGGTTCTTTTTAGAAAACAAATACGTGTCCCAGCATGAAAGTACAATGCATTATGTTATACTAAGTTGTTAATGGCCATGAGTCTCTAAAACTGCAAAGTCTACACCAATAGAAGTTATTTTTATAATTATTACTTCTAGACTGGGGGAAAAAAGGAAAAGGGAGGAGGAAAGTAGACACTAAAAAAAGTGGGCTAAGCCGGGCTCGGTGGCTCAGCCTGTAATCCCACACCTTTGGGAGGCTGAGATGAGTGGATTGCCTGAGCCCCACCTGGCAACTTCGAGACCCGCCTGGGCAACTTGGCGAGACCTCATCTCTACAATAAATCAAAAAATGAGCCGGGCATGGTAGCACGCGCCT